GAAGTTGAAGAAAACAAACAAATAAATTACCTTGATATCACTATAATAAACAACATTGAAAAATTTGATTTTATAACATAAAATATTATGTGATGTTAAAAAAACTACTAATTATAATTCTTATATACCAGATTATGTAAAAAAGAATTCATACCTTATGGAATTAAAAAATATATATACACGTATAACAGAAGACCATAATATTAAAATTAAATTAAAAGAATTAGAAACAAAATTTATTCTGAATGATTACCCAAAATTTAAACTTAATAAGTGGAAAACATATTTCTTAAAAAATAGATATAATACAAAATATAAATATGAAAAAACGTATAAAATATTCCCATACATAAAAAACATCTTTGAAAATTGCAGTAAAATTCTAAAGAAAGTTATGTTTAGCCCCATCTTTGACCAATAAGATTTCAAATGATATTTCTAAATATGTTAACAGAAGTAATCATAGTAATATAGATCCTCTAAAAAAGACAGGTGTGGTATATAAATTGGAATGTAATTGTCAGAACCCATACATGTATGTAGGAGAAACTGGTCGTGTATTGGAGGTTAGGATAAAAGAACATGAAGCAGCTATTCATCTAAAATATAATAATTCCCCATGGTATGAGCATACAGAAAATAGTAATTGCAAAATCAATCGCAGTAATATTAAAATTTTACATTATGAAAAAGACATGTATAAACGAAAATTTAAAGAACATTTAGAAATAAAGAAGAACCAAAAAAATAATTTAATAAATAGTTCAGATGGTATGCTAATTGATTCTCGTTGGTACAAACTGATAGAGGACGTTACATAAAATGAAATTATTGCGATTGATTAAAAGAAAGGTGTTGAAGTGTTTTATTTGATTTTTTGTAAGTTATTGTTTCTAAACTGTTCATATCACTATATATTTTAACTGTAAGTAATGTATGTTGTTTTTACATACCATTGTTAATTCTGCAAAAATAGTCATAAAAAAGTTTTGTTTTTAGTGATAGGGTTATTCAGTTGTATTAATTAATTAAACACTTCAATGGCTCTTTAAGCTTGTACGATACCTCTACGATGTATTGATGTATAACGTGTGTTGGTGTTATAGTTGTGGTGGTGTTCCATACACAATTCTTTTATCTTTAAGAGTAAGTGTGTAAAAAATTTTTTCTATTGTATATTTTTTGTCATAAACTGAATATTTTTGGTTTTATTGTTCTTAAAAATTAGCACTGAGGAGGGGTTCGGGATGCATTGCGCCAACCTGAAATGCATTTGTCAATTTTGAGAATAAAATTGTAGTTCCTAACTGAAAATTTGCTGTGAGTCTGTCTACCATTTGTTGGATTACAGAGACGTATTACATAGAGATCTAATATACAGCAATCCAGTTATATAGTAATCTATAGANCATTTGTCAATTTTGAGAATAAAATTGTAGTTCCTAACTGAAAATTTGCTGTGAGTCTGTCTACCATTTGTTGGATTACAGAGACGTATTACATAGAGATCTAATATACAGCAATCCAGTTATATAGTAATTTATATTGCTAATTTAAATTAATTTAAATAATAGCTAGGGGCGCCCCTAGTGGCTGCTTTTGGCATACCGTCACAGAATGGGACTGTCCATTTTTTCAGCTTTATATAGTGTGAGGCTCTGGACAGGTCCGAACCTCACTAAAAATTCGCGTTAAAATAATTTTTTCTAGGACAAAATTATCTTTTTTTAAGAAAAAAAGAAGTTAGAAATAGTTTTTCTGAATGAAAACGACGCGAACTTTTCAGAAATTTTAAACAATAGAACAATGGAAAATCGAAGATCGACTATCTCCGGATGGGAATCGAATTAAACTTTGATCTTGACCTCTCCCGCGCCTCCGAAAGGTTTCGACTTGTCATCAGGAGAGACCAATCGGAAAGTGGAATCGGAGGAAAACAGATAAAACCCCGGACATTCAAGGACGCGACGGCTTCTCCCGAAAGTTCCAAGTGACAGATCTATTGTAGTGTGTGTGTCTCGCGCCCGTCTTCGTCTCCATCTCCCGACCTTGGATCGACATCTTTCCATCAACGGAAGTCGACCGCATCGTCCTGGAGACGTCAATGGAAGTGTTCATTCGCGAACAAGGGACACTCCTTCAAAATGGGACTATCTTGGAAAGGAGAGGAAGACCCAAAGGCCGCAGCCGACGTAGAACTTCCAAGATCGCGGAAATCTTGTAAGCTTCTTTCGTGTTTAATAAACGGGTTGTGTTGTTGTAAACGAGGCATCTATCTCTTACTCAACTGCTTGCACATGTCGTTGATTGTTACCGCTCGGCAGTCCAAACGACTAGGAAGACGATGACGATATATATCACATATTTTCGTTAAAATACGTCGTGTTTTCAATTTCTCCCTCCTCGGCACCCACAATAGTAGATTTCTGTAAAATATTTCGGTTATAGTTTTTGTCGTATAATTTAATGATGATTCGCTACTCAAGATGCATCTTTTCGTAATTTCGATGGCGCACATCTTTACTCCAATACTTTGATGCTTCGAGTTTTAATACAACCGAATACATGCATCTACCACATTTTGAACACGTTCGAACATGTTTCCATCGCGGGCGCTCGAGCAATTGAAGCCATTGTTAGGCAGTAAAGGCTGTAATTGCATCAAAATTTTACAAAAGTTCCATTTCTTTTTGTCTTTACTATGTATAAAATGAATATAACGCAAACCTTAGTGTAAGTTTCCATTTTTAAAGTCGCATACTGTAACTACTATAAAAGCGAACAATCACAAGATGATTCATTTACAGTGGAACCTCACTTAACGAACACCTCACATAACGAGTGTTTCTCATAACGAATAAACCAAATTGTAAAAATTGTTTCACTTACCGAGCGATGTTTCGCATAACGAGTGACGAGAAGAGGGAAGTCCCAAATTGTGCGCATGCTCCATCAGTCTGTGTTTAGCACTCGTTCCGCTAGCATCTTAGTGTCGCTTATGATCACATATTTTTCCAAACTTGTGTTCACACATATTACTTTTAAACATCAACAACCATAGCCCATTATATAATAAACACGCCAAACGTTATGTCAAATTCTTGGGCTATGTAAAGGCTATAATTATTAGAAATTAATTTATTTGACTATAGGTAGGCAGTTATGCTGCCATCTCGTATTAAATTTAATGACCAATTCCAAATTAAATTTTAGAAATGCCTGAATTAAAAATTAACTATTTATAGTTATTAAATTTAATACGAGATGGAAGCATAACTGCCTACCTCTAATGAAATTAATTAATTTCTATTATTGAATTATAGCCTTTACATAGTCCAATAATNTTCCAAATTAAATTTTAGAAATGCCTGAATTAAAAATTAACTATTTATAGTTATTAAATTTAATACGAGATGGAAGCATAACTGCCTACCTCTAATGAAATTAATTAATTTCTATTATTGAATTATAGCCTTTACATAGTCCAATAATTTGGCATGTCGGTTGGAGTGTTTATCAAACATATTATTTGTGATTTTTTTTTTGTTTTCTGCAAATCGAATTCTCTTTCCAGTTGGTTCATTCCGCGCTAGAAGAAAAAATGATGATGATTCACGCTCCTTAACAATGAACATTGTACAAGTTTCTTTAAATAAACGTTATACATAAAATATTTGAGTATTTTTTAAGCGTCATTATTGTATTTTACATTAATTTCTATGGGAAAATTGTTTCGCTTAACGAGTGTTTCGCATTACGAGTACGAATCTGGAACGAATTATGCTCGTTAAGCGAGGTTCCATTTTATTTTGAAGTCACGAGATTGAAACTAAAAACAGAAATCGTTCTAGAATTAAAACTGATGATAATTATTTATGTTTAAGATATCAACGTTATATCAATACAATATATAAGATATTAACATTTTATCTGACAGGATGAGATATAAAGTGTTGAAATTTATTGATAACTTACTTATACAAAGTCGAAATGTTACTTTAGACGGCATTAGAATATAATCATAGATACAGCATTTTTGGATTGCAATTTTCGACTTGCATACCTATACATTCTCACTGTCATTTGTCTGTTCTTGGTTAACGATACATCACTCGATCCTGTAAAGGATACAATATTCACGTGATCTCACATTTTCAGTGATAAACGTCAAGTGAAAAATAGTCACCATAGAGAAAACTTAGTATATAATATAATATATGTTACACGCGACTGCAAGCAAACCCCATTTATATTGAGTATTTCAACAACCATAGTAATTGTTATATAATTCCTACTGCTGAGAATGATGAGAATTGCTGAGAATCAAACGAACTGTTTTCAATTTGATTAATTTTCTGGAACGTTTACAATCGTTCTATAATCGAACCAATATGCAATAACAAATTCGAATTTAAAACGGTTCGAACATTTGGTTAAAAAATCGAAATAGATAAAACTATTTATAACAATATCTGAAATGTTATCAATTTAATACACGTAAGTACTCAATAAAGACTAAACGTTGCTGAAAACGAAAAATCGCATCTAAAATAGTACAGTAGAAGCCGTTCTTCAGATTAAGCCTTAATTCTTTCCCTCTCCCCAGGCGGGGGGAATTTCGAAAAATCCCTTCTTAGTATGCGTTATGATGACGTACTCTGTGTACCAAATTTCACCTCTTTAGGCTCAGCGGTTTGCTCTGGGCTATGATGAATCATTCAATCACACACACACACATTCAGTCAGTCAGTCAGAACAAGTAATTTTATATATATATAATTAAATATATATACATATTTTTAAAATTAATGTATACTTAAACTATTTTTTACAAGTTGAATAAGTTGAAAGTTTCTATGAAATCATTTAATTTATTTTTATGTTGTTTAATTCAATCATAAAAAATTGTTTTAATTTCTGAAAGGTAAAGGTAGAATTTACATCATGAATTTATCACAAGACCTGTTCACGTGCAGGTGATTGATTAATTAAATCACATGATGGGTAAAGTATATAAAAGAAAATCTGACAAGAATCGATGTCGTTCTCCGTTATTATTGACTCTTCAAAGTATAGTTAAAGGTAAGAACATGTATCAGTAGTTATGTAGATAATAAATGTTAAGTTTTCTTAAATGCTATCGGCATATTTTATATAATACAATCTGAAAATATGTAATTTATATAAAGATATACGTAAATTACAAGTTTTAATACCATTTTGTTTATTGTTTAATTGTATGTTTTCGCTTTAAAAGCCGAGTCGAAGTCAATTGTTGTATCATATATAATTTCACCAAATGAAGACATTGTCTGAATTAAAGAAAGTCCCAAATAATTTTCCTTTTAATATACATTCTCCAGAGAACTATTTAGAAAATTAATTCGTTTTTTTTGTTTTAATTCTGTACAATATAAGTGAGCGATATCGACTCTCAAACCATATAATTTGATATTCCCTTGTCCACTTTAACATTTTTTTTCTAAATTTTAATTTTTTCAGTTTACTTTATCATTCATTTTTATTTTATATTTTGTTATTTTTACCTGCTAAATATACAGACATAAAGAGTGATTTGTATTTTCGACAGTTGTGCAGTTAGAGACTGAACGTTATCTCATTTTCCCCTTTCATACAGTTAGTGATAACACAAATGAAACGGAATATTTCAGATAGCTTCTAAACATGAATAGTGATAAGTGTCATATTTTTTATCTACTTTGAAGTTGCAGGTTATGCTTAAAGTTTCGGTATTTTTTTATTTATGACGCTGCTTTTTGACAACTAAGAAGGTCCTTTTTGTGTCCATCAAAAGTTCGACCAGCCCACAATTAAGTAACCTGGTGTTGTGGGAGTGGACCGACATGAAGTTGCTGGATATATATTGCTGTGGTCTATCCTCATATAACTATCCCGGTTTTTAATTTCGAAGCGCAGTTTGTAAGCAATTTACTCGTATACGTTACAATTAAGTTGTAGTCAAAATATTATTGATGCATCTACATTAAATTTTCAGTTTTGCTTATGCTTATATAAACTTGTTAACTCTGAATAACAGCAAACGATTGGAGTTAATTTAAAAATTCTATTTAATATATTTACAGGAAGTAACAATCATGAAAGTATTGTTATTACTAACTGTATTATGGACTGTGGCTTCGTGTAAATACATCCTTCCCGAAGGAATCGATCCTCTTTCTCAACAAATGATAGATTACATCAATTATATCAACACTACTTGGAAGGTAAGTGAACACAAATGCCACCTATTAGGGTTAGTACAGGGTTACATTACTGTATACATTTTCAATTTTATTTGTGTGAACCTTGTACGCAATTTTTTTCCTTCAACAAAGCTTATTTATTGTATCTATTTTGTATATTTACGAAATAGTGTGTACTAGAGAGAATTAGTGTCATTTAATTTCTGAGATGTTTGATGGTGGTATCTGAGAAACTGATACATTACACCTTCATCCATGTAGTCAGGTTTTCAATGATTGTAACGTAACACCTTCATCCACTTGTCTCTTTAACTATTTTAATTGGTATTTCTAATATAATACCGAAATTGTGTTGATAAAATTAGACTACAAAATAATAAATTTACTTTCAACAGAAAAATTTTATATAAAAATCTTTATAATGCAAATAAAACAGTTATTTTTGAAGTAGTTAAGAAATATCATTGTTTAAATAAATTATAAATGAATTAAAACTTAAATTTTATTTCATAAACAGGCAGGAAGAAATTTTGAGGGCGTGAGTCTTAAATACATCAAAAGACTTATGGGCGTTCACCCAAAAAGTAAATATTATGGATTACCTCAAATTCGTCACGAAGTTCCGAAGGATATTCCTGAATCTTTTGACGCTAGAAAACAATGGCCTTATTGTAAAAGTATCAGTTTAATTAGAGATCAAGCTTCATGTGGATCGTGTTGGGTAGGAATTTATATTTTAACTTTTTTTTTTTAATAATTTTTGATATTTTTGTAAATATTTCATAAAAGTTAATCTCATTTATATATAAGTTAAATATTCATTAAACTGTTATTTAATGGCATACAGATGTGAGTTTTAATTAAACTTACTATATATACATTAACTCTTTCCACACTGGGAACACTTGCTAAGCTCCCAGTATAAAAAATGTTAAGGTATATACAGCTAATGTATAGAGTTAAGGCCCTCTTAGTGAAAGCCTTTTTGGGAAAACTGTCATAGGTTCGTTCAGGCCCATATTGGGGAGGCCCGACATAATCAGCATCCAGCCTTCCGAACTAATATATTATTAAAGCATTGCAAAATGTAAGATGTTCATAAATGTATTATATCATCTTTCCAAAACATATACGAAAACACAGGGCAGTGAAAACATTTCGATGATACAAAATGTTTTGGAAAAGCTTCAATAAACAGAACGACAACATTTGATGGGTACAATATGTCTAAAGATTGCTGCAACTTCAGTCATACGTGATCCAAGATCTGGATACCCAAATACGATAATACATGTCGAAGCTGTTCAAACATTCAAAATTTGATGTTTGTAAATCGGAGGATAAATATCAGAGAAATTTCTGAAGAAATCAATGTGTCAAACGAATTGCATTCAATCGTCCATGAAGATCTTGCTTACAAAACAAGAGCAAGCAAGTTTGTTCCTTAGATATTAACTGAGGGGCAAAAGAAACAAAATCAAATGGTTTGCAAACCATGCTCCGAATGGCTGAAAATTGACAAAATAAAGTGTTAACCGCAGACATCTTATTTACCAATTTGATACTAAAATTTAATGATATCATTAAAGTTTTGTGTGAAATCATCTCATAGGTGGTATCTAAAATTTTCTTCTAACTCAGAGAGACCTGAAATTGTGACATTTTCATAGCGCTTCATTTCCAAGAAACTCTCTTTAGAATCATTTAAAGATTCTTGGTACTGCAAATGTTTTCTGCATCGTGCATGAGACTCTCCAACTAGCAACATAGCTCCTTGTATTTTGGTGATCCAAGGATAAATCTTGAAACATTTCCATAGATTTTTCTCTTCCTGTATCTGGCGGTGAGTTTCAGTTCATAATCAGTCTCGGTTTTATTCGTTTCACCTAATCTTTGCAGAAATAAAAAGATAGATATGATGTTTTTACAAGTTTGCGGTATGTCTAATTTTCAAGTTTTTACAAGTGTAAACAAAATACTGTAATTATAATTTTTACGGTAGATTGCGAGTTCTAAATGTCTAAAATTACAAAGGAAAGAAAACGAAAAGCCATTTCGTTAGAAACAAAAATAAAAATCTTAGGATCGCCTTGCGAGTAGTAAAGGTTCAACATCTGTGGGAAAGTTTTGACTTTAACGAAGAAACTGTTAGAAAAATTAATAGAATTCGAAATTCTATGCGAAAATTTATCATCTGAGGATCAATCAAACGTAGCTCAAAAACATTATCTAATCTCTACTGTACCATCGTACAGTAGAGATTAGAAAAAATCTTAGAAAAAAATTGAAGTCATTTTGGTGCTTTAGATTGAAAATTTGGTGCAAAAGATGTAACCTGTGGTTTGAAATATTAGTAAGCATAATGCACTACGAAATTGTAAAAAAAAACTACAGGAATATGAACCATCAAGTAAGGCAGCGATTCCCAACCTGTGGTACGCGTACCCCTAGGAGTACGCGATAGGTTGTTTAGGGGTACAGAAAAAAGTTAGTTATTATGGCAGAAAAAATAATATATTATGTATCACAAACTAATAGTATTAAAAAATTATTAGGTAAAATATGTTCCTTGCAACAATCACAACTTTATTATACATTTTTTCATTTACTTTTAATTTAGAGTTACAATATGTAAAATTAACAATACGGGTACTCACTAAATTTCTTAAATGAGGAGTACAATCTAGAGATATGACATGTTACGGGGTACGCTAATGAAAAAAGGTTGGGAACCACTGAAGTAAGGTAAGCATGCAACTCAAGGTAAAAAAAACAAAAAAAAAATTTTTTCCTGGTAAAAAATGGCTGACAGGATTCCAAAATGAAATGCATTTCACAATATTAAAATTAAAAGAAAAATTGCATCTGCAGATGAAAACGTTGCCAAAAGCTTTCCAGAAAAACTAAACAAAACAATAATAGAGTGCGACAGTGTTCCTGACCAGATTTTCAACGCTGTCGAAACAGCTACAATCAATCTCCCTATAACACTGTTGATAATTCCGTTTTATATGAATTCCATGTATAAGTCACATAAATTTTTCAAATACGTGAGCCGTTCACAGCCCGGCACACGTATTTATAAAATCTAGGTGACTCGTACAACATGGAATTCATATAAAACGGAATTATCAACAGTGTTATAGGGGGGTCGACTGTATAAACTGCAAGAAAATTTACGTTACTCTTTTACACAATTTTATGAATGAAATATAATTATTTATTTTATCTTATACGGCTTTTTATAACTTGGAACGAATCTTTTTGCACCATTTATTGAGGAACGTATCTTCTGTATAAAAAAAATTAAGTGTAATCGTTACCACCTCTAAGGAGAACAATAGAGAACAGGAGGATCTCTATTTAGTCATGAGTAAGTCATCTCATTAAGAGAAATTAAAAGTCGTACTTTTTTCTCTAATTCTCACCACAATAAGTGTAATGGCACTTATATTCTCCAGTCACCATACCAGTATCGTGGGTTTCTCTGCTTGCAGGTCAAAACCTTCAGATCACTAAAAAACGATGTCATGTCATTCACAGTTTGCAGGATGGTGAATCGATTCCGAAATACAAATTGAAAAGCAGCACATTAAATGTCATATTTCTCATAAACCACAAAAGAAAAGCAGACGTTTCAGAGATTGTGGTAAACTAGGTCGAAAAATGTCAGTGCCGTGGTTTTTCAACGCAAAATGGAGGTGTTTCGTGTATTGGTTTATATAATATTTGATCCAATAGGGCTAAATAGGACTCAGTTTCTTATTGAAAGTATCTTTTTTGCATATTGCCCATGTATTAAGTTGCCTTATTCCAACCGACCAGCATACAACTATTCAGTTGTTTTTTACCCAAAAAATAACACTTTAGTACTTCCTGAGCCACCTATTTTCCAGATTTAGCCAAAAATAATTTTTTTCCTTTCTTCCCATAAAAGTAAAAGATCAGATATGAAATAGCTACAGGAGGATGCTATTTCGAAAACTATCAACGTAATTTCTTTTCTCGCTTGTATTAATAATTATATGTACAGTTCGGCAACTTATTGGTCATTCCTTGTATTTTTATAAGGTGAAAAGTATAACTTTGTTAATAACTTTTTCCAGATAGACTTAATTGAAACTATATAATTGCCACATGATAATAAATTTGTTATCTAGTTTGTTTCATTAAATTTTTATACGTCTGTGTGTATTTTAAATAGGCATTTGGAGCTGTAGAATCAATGTCAGATCGAATTTGTATTGAAAGCGGAGGAAAATTGCAAGTTGAACTTTCAGCTGAAGATCTAATGACTTGTTGTTATTCTTGTGGAGCTGGGTAAGAACATGCAGAGATGCAATGTTGTTATTAACATTTGTTTTTTCTTCTTGAATTTAAGAAATACTAGAACTATTTGTATCACATTATCATATTAGCTGCTTTTATCACACTTGTCAGCCTCAATGGCCAGATGGCCGAGTGGTCAAGGTGACAGCCTACCCATCTGGAGGACTCGGGATCGACTCCAGACTGATAGAAAAATCCCCAGGAATATTTCCGGGGTGGTCCGACCGTTTGTGTCGGTCTTCGTCCCTCACCATCAGATCGCCTCGTTGTGGACCTGGCCGAACTTAAAGTGGGCTTGCTGTAACAGGGTGGAAAGAGCAAAAAAAACTTTCAATCATTTTTTAAACTCTATGATGTGGGCAGTAAGTGGGTTGTTTAGCAATCCCGTTATGAGTTCGTACCAGACTTACAACAGAGCGGTCGGTAGTGAGGGAAGACCAACTGGACGGATCAACGCCCAAAAGTTCTTGGGATAATTTAATTTGTCTGGATTCGTTCACGAGTCTCCAGATCGGCAAGCTTCTACTAAGAGATGGTTGGGCTGTTCAATTAAACTAATAGAAGCACCAAACACTTGTCAAAATTTGTCCGAAAATTTCAAAAAAGAGAATTTTATTGCAGTATTCACTTTAAAACTCAGTCAAATACGCTGACATCTATATAATATTAATTAGTGTAAAAATGAATTTATTATTAATATATATTTATTTATATTGGATTATTTATACTTATATGTTACGGCCAGAGCCCGAAGTTCGGCCAGTTCTCGAATTGGCTGGCCATTTCGCACTTTGGCCGAGAGGTGTGGCCAAGGTCCGATTTACTTGAAATGACCAGTGTACATGCTACTTTGGCCGACCATTTCGAAGGGACTGGTAATTCCTGGCCAAGATTCGATGTGCTGATACAAGACTGTTCCGTAGGCAGCACATTTTTTGGTTGCAGTGTGATAGTGTTCTCAAACAATTGCCAGGTCGCCCAACCGCGCATAATGGCAGGATATCCGAGCAGTGCCAAAGCGTATGTGAGTGTTGATGACAGAGACAACTCTCTCCAGTTACAATCAATTTTCCCGATTTATTGTTTTTTGTTATGCTTACAAAAACAGTATTTTCTGTCGGAGAACGGGACGATGTGAATATCCGGATGACTGTAGAGTGGCTGGGCGGTTGGGAGGTTGGTCAGTTGGTCAGTTGATCAGTTGGACAACTGGACGTCTTGAGTTTGTGTCGAGAGATATGCGTCGTTTAAATATCGGAGAAACAGAGAATATTTTCACTATGGAGGATGCCGTACAGTATGAAAATTTGGTGGAGAAGCTCTCCTTGTCATTCGTAATTTATTTATGAATATGGTCCCGGTACACTGTTGGAGTCTCACACAACTGTTTTTCAGAAGTGAATTTTCCATTCTGCACAAGTAACTGCTCACACTGGAATCCGCGGGCGCAAAATAAAAGTTACTACGAACCGTCGCATCTCTCCAATCACTGACAGGTGGCCAAGGCTACACTCGATGCAATTGCATTACTAAGTCAGCAACAAATCGCTGCAAGTGCAAAAATAACAAACGGTGTGTAATTCGAAATATCATAACAGTTCATCTTGTCGTACAAGTGATGGTAGAGATTGATAATCTACTATGATTAATAAATAAGCTTAACACACAATTGAATTTGATAGCTTATAAGTAATAATTAATATAAAGTATGAAATTATACAGACCCACTAAAATCTGCTCATGACTTTTTCTTCCAACTTTGGCCGATTGTTTCGTGCCATTTTGCAAACTGGCCGGCCATATCTCAAAATCAAGAAAAGATCGGACATTGGCCAGTCAATTTACAGTGACTTTGGCCATTTCCCGATTTGGCCGGACACTTCCTACTTTGGCCGTAACATATATATAAATGTATATTTCATATACAAATTTATTTTTATTTTAATTGCGTTTCTGGATAAGCCAGTATTTATCGAGGAGAACTGATAAAACAAATTCCACGATTATATAGAAACATAAAAATACAATTGCACAAATATATTAGATTTTATAGGGAAAGGATTGGGTTTCTCTAACGGGATCCCGGTAATTCCGGCTGTTTTTTGAATCCGGGAAATATCCCGAAAATTTTTCTCATTTCTGGAAATCCTGCAAATTTCTTAAAAGCTAAGTTTTTTCTTATTTTGTGTTAAGGTTGAAAAAATTTTGCAAATATAAAGTACTAGCTGCAAAGACCCGCTTCGCTGGGTTTTTATTTGTATGTAATATAGTTTATATATATATATATAAGACTGTTTTTCTATGTTATCTAGAATCTAGCTGCAAGGACCCGCTTCGCTGGGCAAAAAGTAACGATAGTGAAGATTAAGATAATTACATTATAGCTAATCTTACCCGTTTTTACAGAATGCAAGAATTAGGTCCCCCGTTTCCAGACTAATTAGAGAATTTTTACGTTTAGTCAAACGAACTATTTTCAACGTTTCTGGAACGTTTACAATCGTTCTATAATCGAACCGATATTCGAATTTTATGTTCGAATTTAATTCGATAAAATTCGAACTAATTCGAACAAAACATTCGAAATAGAAAGCCACTTTCAACCACTTTCAGCCTCATATCTCCCGCACCCTTATAGCTATCGAGACGCAACCACCATAGTGCACGAATGGAGACTTGGGGCTACTACCACATACAAACACCATTCATGTGCGATGTGTAGTTTTTGCGGAAAAGTGAAATATAGGGACACACGTCCATTTATATATATATATATATATATAGATAATTAAGAGAAGATAGATGCTATGTGTTCATCACCTGTAGACTCGAAGATTTATTTCTAGTTCGTTTCCAGATGCGTTTTAGTACTTCATTTGCTGTCTAGTATTTTTGATTTGTCTACTTACTTAGAAGCATTAATTTTATAGCCCGATAATTCGGTAGTTTGTTTGGCTTTAATAATCAGATTTCTAAAGAAAAACTTATATTTGCATACTTCCTACTGGTTTGTATTCTTGCTCAATTTGTACAACCTGGCATAATGCAGTTATTGAAGCTTCTGGGCATGGTTAAAAGTTAAGACAACAATTTATTCAAGATATTACAGGTTCTGACAAGTAAAGAATTTTTTGTCTTTCCACAAATAGGCGACTTTTGATTATTGACAATCTGTGACATTCCATAACGAACAAAAATTTAAAAAAGTAATAAGCAGGAATAAAATTAATAAATACAAATGTATTCTGACAGTTTATGAGTTAAATGAATTAAATTAAAAACGATTCTACCCACATTAATTGAATCGGAAAGGGCATTCTCTGTAGCAGGACTTTTCATTAATAAAATAAGAAACAGATTGAATGGTCGGAGTATCGACCATCTTTGCTTTTTAAAATCTTATTATAAAAGTTTACAATTTTTTGTTGTAAGCAGCTTCCAACAAACTTTAATAAATTTCTTCTATTTGAAAATTTATATGTAATTCAAAGGTAGTTTTTAATACATATTTTACACAGCATTATTAATATTATTATTTTGGAGATTGCAGATTGTATTAAATTACTTAAAAAATAAAAAATAATTATATCATTCGATTTTGAGATTTATTTTATATCTTGAAAATAATTAATTATATCCTGGGATTTCCCTGCATTCCAGAAAAGAAATCACCTTTTCTCCAAATCCCGGGACAAGCGAAAAACCGAAAATTAGAAAATCTAATGAAAAATAAATTACGTATAAAAAAGAAAATTTTAAATTTTTTTTCCTTCTAATTAGTTGTGATGGAGGCTTTCCAGCTGCTGCTTGGGAATATTGGGTATCTGATGGAATAGTAACTGGAGGATTATACAATAGTAATGAAGGTTGTCAACCATATCAACTTCCTTCTTGCGAACATCATACGAAAGGTCCACTTCCACCATGTTCGGGAGAAGGTCCTACTCCTCCCTGCGTTCAGTCCTGCCGTAAAGGTTATAATGTTACTTATAATCAAGATAAATATTATGGTAAGTGAATTTTATTTATATGTATAATAATGTACTGACGTATTATTTTTCGTAAAAATTATTTAACAACTACAGTAGAGCGTCGTTTATCCGAATCAATTGGGGACTGGGATTGTTCGTATAACTTATTTTTCGGATAACCGATTATGTACGAAAAAGTATCCCATGTTGAAATTTTTATCCGTTGCGTGTCGCTTCGCGTTGAATATTCGTCGATGTTAAGCCTAATGTAAACTTAAATAAACTATAAAATTAATGTAAACTATAAAATAATAATCGTGTCTATTGTATCGTTAAAAATTATTTCTTTATTTTTTACAAACAAAATAAATATATTGAAAAATATAAAAACAGAAAAAAATTATACTTTAGAAGTTACTCTAGTATCAAAAACATTCGATTCAGCACGACACACAGTCCTCAGAAAAACACCACACAAAAGTGCCACTGCTGCCAGCTAAAGCAAACATCAACAAAAAAAATATTGGAGTAGCCCAAAATATAGCCAAAGATTGTAGCGCCACAGCACTACCGAAAATTTAAATTTGCCGACTTGAATTCTTTCGGATAACCGACTTTCGTATAAACGACGTTCTACAGTATATCCTCTGATTCTAATGAAACCCTGTTGTAGTTTATTTTGCTTTATACAGACACACTACGGTGACTTTTTTCAACACTTGGCAGATTATTCATCTCTTTATTCAGTCACCGTAGTGTGTCTGTATAAAGCAAATTATATCCTCTTTAAAAATTCGATCTTTAAATTATTTGAATTCAGATTTGAAATAAAAACTTTTAAAATGAAAAATATTTCCGCGCCTATTGTATCTATCATTACTGCCATTACAATTGAGAGAGGGAAAAAAGATACAATGAAATAAATTATAATACCTAAATGGATTAATTTTAATGGATATTTTTTCCAGGAAAATTAGTTTGTTTTTAGAAACATCAGTCATAAAATTTATTTTAATTACAGTACATCGAGTTGTCCTAAATTTTTCAAATTATATAGTCTACTGTCCATAATTTCTTTAAATACTTTCAATGTTGTATTTTATAATAATTTTTCTACATACTTTCGACTTTTTCTGTGTTGCGGACACTAAAAATATCCTTTATTCTATGGTCATCATGAGTTCTGCCGAGGGCACGTTCTTTGACTTTATGTGACGTCAGACACTTCATTGGCGTTAAACTATGTAACGCTGACAATTCGATCGAAGAACTTTACCGTTAGTTTTGCGTAATGCTGATTGACTAATTAATACTGCTGAAACTGAACTACTAACACACACTGTAATAATTAATAAAACCTTTAATTTACAAGAGGAATATATNCTACCACATACAAACACCATTCATGTGCGATGTGTAGTTTTTGCGGAAAAGTGAAATATAGGGACACACGTCCATTTATATATATATATATATATATAGATAATTAAGAGAAGATAGATGCTATGTGTTCATCACCTGTAGACTCGAAGATTTATTTCTAGTTCGTTTCCAGATGCGTTTTAGTACTTCATTTGCTGTCTAGTATTTTTGATTTGTCTACTTACTTAGAAGCATTAATTTTATAGCCCGATAATTCGGTAGTTTGTTTGGCTTTAATAATCAGATTTCTAAAGAAAAACTTATATTTGCATACTTCCTACTGGTTTGTATTCTTGCTCAATTTGTACAACCTGGCATAATGCAGTTATTGAAGCTTCTGGGCATGGTTAAAAGTTAAGACAACAATTTATTCAAGATATTACAGGTTCTGACAAGTAAAGAATTTTTTGTCTTTCCACAAATAGGCGACTTTTGATTATTGACAATCTGTGACATTCCATAACGAACAAAAATTTAAAAAAGTAATAAGCAGGAATAAAATTAATAAATACAAATGTATTCTGACAGTTTATGAGTTAAATGAATTAAATTAAAAACGATTCTACCCACATTAATTGAATCGGAAAGGGCATTCTCTGTAGCAGGACTTTTCATTAATAAAATAAGAAACAGATTGAATGGTCGGAGTATCGACCATCTTTGCTTTTTAAAATCTTATTATAAAAGTTTACAATTTTTTGTTGTAAGCAGCTTCCAACAAACTTTAATAAATTTCTTCTATTTGAAAATTTATATGTAATTCAAAGGTAGTTTTTAATACATATTTTACACAGCATTATTAATATTATTATTTTGGAGATTGCAGATTGTATTAAATTACTTAAAAAATAAAAAATAATTATATCATTCGATTTTGAGATTTATTTTATATCTTGAAAATAATTAATTATATCCTGGGATTTCCCTGCATTCCAGAAAAGAAATCACCTTTTCTCCAAATCCCGGGACAAGCGAAAAACCGAAAATTAGAAAATCTAATGAAAAATAAATTACGTATAAAAAAGAAAATTTTAAATTTTTTTTCCTTCTAATTAGTTGTGATGGAGGCTTTCCAGCTGCTGCTTGGGAATATTGGGTATCTGATGGAATAGTAACTGGAGGATTATACAATAGTAATGAAGGTTGTCAACCATATCAACTTCCTTCTTGCGAACATCATACGAAAGGTCCACTTCCACCATGTTCGGGAGAAGGTCCTACTCCTCCCTGCGTTCAGTCCTGCCGTAAAGGTTATAATGTTACTTATAATCAAGATAAATATTATGGTAAGTGAATTTTATTTATATGTATAATAATGTACTGACGTATTATTTTTCGTAAAAATTATTTAACAACTACAGTAGAGCGTCGTTTATCCGAATCAATTGGGGACTGGGATTGTTCGTATAACTTATTTTTCGGATAACCGATTATGTACGAAAAAGTATCCCATGTTGAAATTTTTATCCGTTGCGTGTCGCTTCGCGTTGAATATTCGTCGATGTTAAGCCTAATGTAAACTTAAATAAACTATAAAATTAATGTAAACTATAAAATAATAATCGTGTCTATTGTATCGTTAAAAATTATTTCTTTATTTTTTACAAACAAAATAAATATATTGAAAAATATAAAAACAGAAAAAAATTATACTTTAGAAGTTACTCTAGTATCAAAAACATTCGATTCAGCACGACACACAGTCCTCAGAAAAACACCACACAAAAGTGCCACTGCTGCCAGCTAAAGCAAACATCAACAAAAAAAATATTGGAGTAGCCCAAAATATAGCCAAAGATTGTAGCGCCACAGCACTACCGAAAATTTAAATTTGCCGACTTGAATTCTTTCGGATAACCGACTTTCGTATAAACGACGTTCTACAGTATATCCTCTGATTCTAATGAAACCCTGTTGTAGTTTATTTTGCTTTATACAGACACACTACGGTGACTTTTTTCAACACTTGGCAGATTATTCATCTCTTTATTCAGTCACCGTAGTGTGTCTGTATAAAGCAAATTATATCCTCTTTAAAAATTCGATCTTTAAATTATTTGAATTCAGATTTGAAATAAAAACTTTTAAAATGAAAAATATTTCCGCGCCTATTGTATCTATCATTACTGCCATTACAATTGAGAGAGGGAAAAAAGATACAATGAAATAAATTATAATACCTAAATGGATTAATTTTAATGGATATTTTTTCCAGGAAAATTAGTTTGTTTTTAGAAACATCAGTCATAAAATTTATTTTAATTACAGTACATCGAGTTGTCCTAAATTTTTCAAATTATATAGTCTACTGTCCATAATTTCTTTAAATACTTCCAATGTTGTATTTTATAATAATTTTTCTACATACTTTCGACTTTTTCTGTGTTGCGGACACTAAAAATATCCTTTATTCTATGGTTATGAGTTCTACCGAGGGCACGTTCTTGACTTTATGTGACGTCAGACACTTCATCGGCGTTAAACTATGTAACGCTGACAATTCGATCGAAGAACAATACCGTTAGTTTTTCGTAATGCTGATTGACTAATTAATACTGCTGAAACTGAACTACTAACACACACTGTAGTAATTAATAAAACCTTTAATTTTCAAGAGGAATATATATTAACATTAGAACACTTTTAACTCTGTGTGATAATATTTGTCTGAAGAACAGAAAAAACAAAAGGTGGGAAAAAAACAAGAGGAAGCTCGAGAGGAAAACCAACCAGTGTTGCCACCAAACACCAGATCATGAAAACGTTTAGAAAAAAATTTTTCCGTATTTTTCAACAAGTACAATTAAGCATGCACATTGTAGGACGATGCCTTTCATTTATTCATGATGCTACTTTGTTACAAACGGCGTGTACTGCACACGAAAAATATGCCTTCCGCAGAACGTTTAGCCCTTTTATTAGAGTACTGCGTTTGTACATCTTGCTGGAAGGTTGATTATGCTAACATGTTCAGATGTGACAAATGAACTTGATTTGAAAAACAATTCTTGGTACATCATTCTGCACAATGTTTGTATACAAACTTATAATACGCTAGAAGTAGATTATTATTTTGATGAGTAAGGAAGTGAAGTAACTACAATGCATCCTGCTGTCAGAAAAGCTACAACAAAGCTTGATGATATTGCAAATAAAATGTTTATTAGATCTTAAAAATTTTCGAATATTTGGTCAATAAAATGGTTAGATGAGTCAACACTGATCTCAATATTTTACTGACGAAACGGAATTCAAAATACAGTATTCATTTCAATATCCCCAATTGATATATTTATTTAAACAAAAGTAGAAATACTCATACTGTATTTGTATAAAAGTTTTTTTGCCTGATTTATTCAATTATTATTACATGTATATTGCAAATAATAGTATAGCATCACAATTTAATAAACTTGTATAATTTCATTGTGTAATTTATAATACAGTCAACCCCCAATAACTCTGTTGATTATTCCGTTTTATATGAATTCCATGTTGTACGAGTCACTTAGATTTTACAAATACGTGAGCCATTCACAGCACGGCACACGTATTTGTAAAATCTAAGTGACTCGTACAACATGGAATTCATATAAAACGGAATAATCAACAGTGTTATTGGGGGTGTCGACTGTATTCTTTTCATGTACGTTTTTATGATTTACTCTATTTACTTAATGCTATGAAAGTGGTAGTATTTATTTAATTTTAAAAATTCCTAAAATGCAAGCAGTTGAAACAAGGATTTTTCTTTAAATGATTGAACGTAAGATTACACTTACGGTTAGACTTAACCTAGCGAATTAGCGAGAAGACCACAATTATGACGTATTTTCACTAATTCGCTAAATTAAGTTTTTAAATAATTTTTTTCAAAGATTTTTTATAATCCTTTATATAATTTTACAACCTTCGCTCACTTTAGTCCGTTAGGCGCCATCTTCGTTATTAAGTAATTTTTATACTGTATATTTATAGAAATAATATAAATTAATTAATATTAATTACTTTTTACTCAATGAATTTAAAATAACGGTAAATTTTCCAGGTAAATCTTCATACAGTATTTCGAGCGACGTGAAACAAATTCAAACTGAAATTATGAAAAATGGACCCGTAGAAGCAGATTTTACAGTTTTTGCCGATTTTGTATCTTACAAATCAGGTTAATAGATTAATGCAAATTTCACATAAAATATACTCGATATATAATCCATTTTAATGTCGGAATTTAGGTGTTTATCAGCATCATAGTGGCGATGTACTTGGCGGTCACGCCATTAGAATTTTAGGTTGGGGAGTGGAAAATGGTGTTCCTTATTGGCTTGTAGCAAATTCCTGGAACCCTGATTGGGGCGATAAAGGTATATTTTCAAATATTAAAATTAAGCATGTAAATATTTCTTTACTATTTTTTAAAGGGCGTGTATTTGATGCTTATTTTATTTTATTTTTCTTAAAATACTTAAAAAGTATCGTAATTAATAGACTTACTGTGGTTATTAAGCGGCTGTAACGTGTTAATCTTAAGATTTGATATTTTATAATATTAGCAAAAATGGTAAATTTTATTTTTATTTTAAAGGTTACTTCAAAATTATTCGTGGACAGAACGAATGCGGAATTGAAAATGATATTAACGCTGGACTTGCTAAACTGTAAATAATATAAAATATATTTTTGTATATTAAATAAATGTTTATGTAAAATGCAATTTGAGTAAAACGTATAATTGTGAGAATTCTTTAAAGATTGCGGTTTTTCTATTGTAAACATATCAAAAATTCGACTGTAGTAAGTTAATACAGGATAATGGCGCAAATATATATTATTAACAAGCATGACAGCAGTGTCTCTCGTCGCAGTTACTTTTCGTTTTGTCCATGAAAATGACATTTATGCTTGCATCATAATACGGCAGAGAAAATAAAATAAATAAATTATTCACTTATTTTACGTAGAAGTTATGCGACAATGATTAACGCGTAAATCTGTGCTCCAACCCTACAAGTCCCAGACAATTGCCTACATATTACATAACTACTTACAATTTACAATTAAATAGGTACTAAACATAAACCACACTCATACCCAGCAGAATTAAATAAATAAAAAACTTAAACTAACCTTAATATTCGCTGAGAGATTTTTAATGTAACAAACGTTTTCGATCCATTCATCTTCAGGTTAAAAAGAATATTTCTTAAATGGAACAACAATTTCAAAATTCAAAAATATTAGTAACCAATAACATTTCCATTAATAAGAGTAACTAAAACATTGTAAATGATACAAAAATGTAAAATAAATAACATATTACTCATATCAATAATTAATACTATCTATCCTATCTAGATATAATTCTCTTTAAAATATGCTAGCGTTCATGTGCCTGTTGTAAGTTTTTAACGGCATATTTCCAAGCCGATGGAAGACTCTCTGCGTCCCTTGCANGCGACACGCAACGGATAAAAATTTCGACATCGGATACGTTAAACTATTTTTTCGTACGTAAATCATTTATCCGAAATATCAGTTATCCGGACAACTCCAGTCCCCAATTGATTCGGAAAATCGACGCTGTACTGTATTATATTAATGTTTAAGAGTTAACTGATATGATTTTATGATAGTTCTGTATAGTTGACAGAAGTTTTAAAAAAAAATCCATTAAAATATTTGATATTTTTATTCCGCTCTGTGATTTTATATTACTCACGAATTTCGATGTCAAAACAGTGATATTTCGATTTCGTATGTCCCATCTTTAAGGGGATGTAGGAAAAAACATGTACAATTCTTGTACAATATTAAAAAATTAACTGTTAGTTTTACAGCATCATTTACAACTAAATTTATATATGAGAGAGATGCACGAGGTACAGAAAAAGCTCTAGAATTTATTTTCCTTAAAGTTACGATTTATGTATCCGTTTGTCATAAAAATTTGTTTTTCCATTTTTTCCCGAGACTACAAATATTCGAATACAAAGTAAACGGTTTCGACTTATTCCTACTTAAGTAGTAAAATAATTAAGCGATTAGGGAATTGGGGACATAAATAAAACCCTGAAGAAAGAGCCAGAATTTTACTTAAATAAAAGCTTATATAAAAACCGAAAATATATATATAAGCTTAAATAAAAGCTTACCGAAAATATATATATAAGCGAAATTATATATTAACCGAAAATATATATATAAGCTTAAATAAAAGCTTGAATAAAAACCGAACCAATATCTAGCCGAATACAGTAGAAATTGGTTTCTTCGTAATTTTAGACGTAATAAAAAAAGAAATTTTTTCAGTTCAATGAGAGTGACCGAAAAGTTGTAAATTTCCGTGGACACCTAATTCTAAATCGAATTAGTTAGAAAACAAATGACTATTAAGTTTAACATATTTAGATTTTTACAGCTATGGTGAGAAACGTTTAAAATTCACCCAGCCCTGTCACGTCCTTTGAGATATGCTAGTGACACCACAAAAGAGNGGTCATAGTTTTACTACGCTGGTAAGCAAACTAAACTTCATCTCGTGTCTATTTCGCATGTACGGTATGTTTGAATATTATCGTGAAACTGATAGTAAAGTTACCGATAATTTTAAGAAGTGAGTTCTGTTAACTTTCTTGGGCTTATATTTAAAAAAATGACACAAGACATAATATTCTTTAAGGTAATAGGTTATTTTTATACCCGTCATGAGTTTTATCTGACCCACAATAGAGCAAACAGCTGGTTTCTCCATTGTGGACTAGGCCAAACCAACACATAATCATAATGACAATCATAATGAAGTTCTTGAAAATTTTCTGGAGTTGATCACCAGGATTCGATGTTGAAATACCCCAGAGAGGTAGACTGATGCAATATTTCTATCAGTCTATTAAAATCTAACAGGTAATTGGGGTCAGATTCTTTTGTAGCAATAGAAAACCTATTACTATTAGCTTCAAAAATTTCTATCGTATTTTTTTAAAATACTCGTTGTTGTTGTTGTTGTTAAGATGCTTTAAGTATTTATGCACATTCTCTATTGTTAATCATTTGTGATGATTTCTAGGGATACGGGTATCGGTCATCTAGCTAACACCTTTCATGGGAAAAATTTTGAATTAAAATAACTTCCGGTTTTAGTCGGAAGTTCTTATATAATTAATCGGTCTCCTGTTCCAAAGATTTCCATGTCTTGTCTCGTCTTTCATCTATCTAACACCGTTCTCGAGTTTATAAGTCCAAAATTTTTTCAAATTGCAACCGAATTAGTCAGGAATTTTAGTTCCTGAGTCGTCAATTTTTGTCATTCACCTCCTCCAAATCTAACGACTTAGTGACGCCACTGCTAAGAAAGCCGTTGTATTAAGTCGATTGTGGGCTCAGCTAACCCAATTGTGGACCTAGCCATATTGAGACAACGACACATATCTGGAAGGACCACCCCGAAAATTTCCTGAGGTTTTTCGACCCGAAATTAAATCCGGCTCTTCCATAGCGGCAAGTTGACTCACTAATCTTTTTGATATATATAGCTGTTCTACGTTTACACCAATACAAATCTCAATTGTTTTCAGCATGATATTAGANCGAATTAGTTAGAAAACAAATGACTATTAAGTTTAACATATTTAGATTTTTACAGCTATGATGAGAAACGTTTAAAATTCACCCAGCCCTGTCACGTCCTTTGAGATATGCTAGTGACACCACAAAAGAGACATTCGACATTAACCGGTATCGGCACCCTCGGGATTTGGCATGCATGTACGCACTGCACACCTACCAAGACCGTCTCTGATTCCAACCACGAGCCACTTATAGGGAGCAATTTTAACTAAGTGGATTGTTTTAATATTTAAAAAGTAAAGAAAATTTTATGTTACGTTTCTTCACAAAACTGAATTTAATTATAATTTTCTTTAAAAGTATATTCATACAATCGAATATTTTGTACCAGTATGTATATTGTATAGCCATCACACATTTTATTTTAACAAGTAAGTTTTCACAATTTTATGTTTAATTTTAGCCCTGATATTATGGCTAGCGATTTACAATGTAATTTCGATATTGAAAATTTATTTTAAAGTTTTGGTTCGAGACCATATAGTCAAAAAGAAAACATTATTAGAAGAGAAAGATCAATGCCTAAATTAAGTATAAATACTGATTTAGTGAATGTCTCTTCAATCCGAAAAATTCTTTCTGGTAGACTACCTCACAGCCAATTCAGGTTATAAACTCCTATTATTGTTATTTACAGATGCATTTCGAGCTAGGGCGTAAAAAAATTTGTTGTATTCTAAATTGTTTTTTAAAAGGCTTTTTAAAAAAGTTGTACAAACGTATACTGTCAACCTTTGGAAGATAATATGCTTTTAATTGAAAAAAATCTCACTGAGGAAGAGCTAGTAAATTAATCTAGCTCGAAATGCATCTGTAAAGAACAATAAAAGGAATTTATAACCTGAATTGGCTGTGAGGTAGTCTACTGGAAACAATTTTTNAAAGTTAAAAGAAATTGGAAAAAAATAAACAGAAATTATTTATTAAAAAAATACAAAAATAACAGGAAAATATTTCAAGTTCAGTTGATATTATATCAGTTTGTGCGCTGTGTTTTAAGATACTTTTATTTCATCATAATTCAAAGCAGTTTTAATATATAAAACTAAAAAAAAATTTTTAGCAATAAAATTTTTTATGGTTACGTGATGACAATTATTGATTTTCACAATCAGCCAAATCGGAAACGAAGTTCTAAGATTAGAAAAAGCTCGTGTATGCATAAAGGAAAGCACTTCCCTTTTGACAATTATATTCCTTTAAGAGGAAGAATTAAAATTCGAACACGACTGCTGTGATTAGATAATATTCTTATATATATAATATATATATATATTTCACTTTTTCGCCAAAATTACACATCGCACATGAATGGTGTTTGCATGTGGTAGTAGCCCAAATCTCCATTCGTGCACTATGGGGGTTGCGTCTCGATAGCTATAAGGGTGCGGGAGATATGGGGCTGAAAGTGGTTGAAAATGGCTTTCTATTTCGAATGTTTTGTTTGAATTTGTTTGAATTAAATTCGAATATTGGTTCGATTATAGAACAATTGTAAACGTTCCAGAAACGTTGAAAATAGTTCGTTTTACTTGACATGAACAGGAAACGTTCAGAAATAGAATCGGGACCAGGTCTCTAATTAGTCTGGAAACGGGGCACCTAATTCTTGCATTCTGTGAAAACGGGTAAGATTAACTATAATGTAGCCAATCTTACCCGTTTTCACACCTTAATGTAGTTTTCCTTCATAACAATAGCTTTCATGTTTTTTAAGAATCTTACCTGTTTTCACAATCTTAATCTTCACTATCGTTACTTTTTGCCCAGTGAAGCGGGTCCTTGCAGCTAGATTCTAGATTACTTAGAAAAACAGTCTTTTATAGGCCTATAAAAAAACTGTATTACATACAAATAAAAACCCAGCGAAGCGGGTCCTTGCAGCTAGTTTTCAAATAAAATTAGTGTGTAGAATAAGAATGGCTTTGACGATTTAAATAATTTAAGTAAAGCTGGCAAAAGACACGAAAATCGTAAATGTCGCATCGATTCTTTCGAAAAATTGAAGAAATTTGGAAATTAAAATAGAATAGAATTTAACATTAGTAAAAATATAAAAGAAATATTGGCAGTCACACTATTGCATTCTTACTGTTTATAAAA